TTTAGGTGTGATACACACACAATGCATAGAGAGAATCCTTGCCCAGAGAGCCTGTGTTTATTCTGGCCAAAGAGAGAAATCAGTATAAACTGTATTTTCTCATGGACTTTACCAGGTTCATTTAAAGGAATAAAAAATAAGGCACTTTTTCTGTGTTAGTAATTTACAGTGTGTACCCCTGTCTTAATTATATTCCTGATTCTTTGCCTAACTTGTTATGAGTCCATCCAGTGCCTTTCTGAAATAGGGGAATTAGCACCCTGGGCGATTTCCATGAGGAATACCAGACAGCAGAATTCAAGTGCTTTCCAGGCAAGTCTCCTTGGCCCTTTGCCACGTGTGAATGGCCTCAACTTAACCTCCAGACATCATATAAGTGTTTAAAAGTCATCAAATGGCTGATGAGTTAATCACTAGGAAGTTGTCTCCTAACATCAAGGATTTAGGTTAAAGTACAGAAAGCACAGAGAAAATCGTTATAGCAATGTACAAATGAAGGCCAGCCCTTTTCCATGAGTGTAACATGCAACCAGCATGAAGTGTGAAGATAATATGTACTTTAAAAACCATTTGAAATAAGGGTTTTAAACATCCATATCTTAAAATTAACTTCAGGGAAAAGTCAGCATTGGCTTGTATCTGGACATCAAAAGAGCAGAACTTGATTCCAGCCTCTGGATTATCAAGGGACATTCAGAGGTGGACCCTGGATTCCTTACAGAAGTTGCCTTGCTTGAGGATTGCCCAGCTCGGGGACACCACGCAAGAGTTCTGCGCAGCCCTGCTTATGGGAGCAAACGTTGTAGCCAAAGCTCTCAGCACAACCGCTGCGCCTCTTGAAGCAGAAAGATGTCCAAGAGTGTGAACCCTTTTCCCTGGACCTGCTTCAGACTGTGGAAACATTTTCAGTTGCCGCTAAAAAGCATCAGGTTACAGACAACAATTTCAAAATCAGAATAATTTGAGTTTAAGCAACTGCTTAACTGGAATTTCACCCAGTCGTGACTGCCTTTTAAATCCTTGGCAGCAAGTGCCTATGAACAGGTTTTGTATTTAACTTGAAATAGAATAAATATGCCTTTATTTCCAGCTGCTATTTCAAAGGCTGTGGAAATATTAGGAGCAAAGTGTTAGCCAGCCATTCCTCAATCACAGAGCTACAAACGTGCTTTCAACTGGACTGCTACAAGGCGTTGCCTCATGCCATTCTAGAGAGGTGACTTCTTAGCTCTTGGTGCTCTTGAGGTTTGATCTAAACCATGCTGAAATGAATAGACTCTTACTAACTTAGGCTTGGATCCCATACTTAAAATCTTGGTTAATTAAAACAGAAATCATGACCAGAATGCCAGGATACAGCCAGGGATGTGTAGGAAACCCAACATAGCCCACATCAGAGCAAACACTGTAGGAACAGTGCTGTGTACGCCTGAGCGCTTTGTTCCTACATGGTAATTATGTGCTGGGTTCACATTGTTGTTTTGTGGGGAAAATGCGTTCTTGGAAATCAGAAAATAAAGAGGCAGTTTTAATGTGATTTCAAACAGAGAGTGTTTTGATATGAACTGATTTATTTGAGTTACAGTGTTGCTTATTTAGCCAGCTGTGGTTAAAACTAGTGTTGTACAGAAATGTGAATGCCAGAGAGAAATGGAAATGTGCCCGTATGGTTTATACCATTGACTTAAACAAGGGGGACTCAAACTCAAACAGGGGAGATTTAGGTTGGATCTAAGGAAGAAGTTCTTCCCTGTGAGGGTGCTGAGGCGCTGGCACAGGGTGCCCAGAGAAGCTGTGGCTGCCCCATCCCTGGCAGTGTTCAAGGCCAGGTTGGACAGGGCTTGGAGCAAGCTGCTCTAGTGGAAGGTGTCCCTGCCCGTGGCAGGGGCCTGGAACTGGATGAGCTTGAAGGTCCCTTCCAACTCAAACCAGTCCGGGATTCTGTTATTCTATGGATGCTTTTCCAACTCTGTACACTTAATGGAAACGTATCAGAGAGGAAATCCTGATTAATGCAGGATACGCTTCTCCTTTGCTGCCCATTCAGTCACTGCTCTCTCTCTGTCTCCAAAGCAGTGTCGAGAGGTGTGTTTTCTCATTCCCAGGCCTGCTCATACCTATCGGGACCTGCCAGACGTGGGGAGCCTCTGTGAAATGTAGTGTAATGAGGCCCTGATTCATACCCTGCTCCGATCCCAGGGAAATTCCCCAGTGGAATCATAGGGCTTTGGCACATGGCCAGAGTCTCAGTAACTTCCTTATTTCTCTCTCGTACATAGAGGATATTCCTAAGCCCTACTACGGCACACGAGAACATAAATCTTGCCCAGGAGTATCTTATATGAGTGATTTTTCCCAAAGTAAATAAATCATCCCTCTTTCCTCTTACCCTGGCAAACTGTTAACTGCAAGACTGAGAAAATGCTGTTTCATTTGTGAGCCAACTGAAATCATTCCACAAATCTTTAATTCCTTGTTAGAAAACAGAACCAACTGCAACTGGCTGGCACAGAAAATGTGCCCCCTTTTTTTTCCCCTCTGCCTGCCTTAGTAATGTAACTGCCAGTTTCTGTTTTCGCCTCTGTAGATTTATATGCCTCTATTTGAACCTTTTGACAAATCGGTTTATTTTCATTCTCCCTCTGCCATAAATTCAATCCATATGTCTTTAAAACATCCTTTCATAGCTGTAACATGGAAAAGGAAGTGGCTTAGCCTCTGTATAGGAGTCTACAGTGTATTTAAAGTGAGCTCTTCTCGTTTGCATGCATCGCTTCTGTTAGCTCTTAAATTTTCCACTTCCTCATTATTCAGGTTACAGGGGGCATTGGCAGGGTTTTCTCCGTTAACAGTGATGTACAGTGAAGAAGCACAACAGGATAAATGATTCCCTTCTCAAAATATCCAGGAAGTTTTTGAGGCAGCTTTACTACCAAACAGGATGCAAGGAGGATGTGAAAAAGGTAGGAGAGATCAATTCAGCATAAAATATCAAAAGCAGACCCCAAGACAAAGAAACAAAGGTCTTGCACAATGTGCTGCCATTCATTTGGCAGGGGTTTGTTTGACAAGAATACACAGCACCTATGTGACAGGAGGTCACTGCAGTAGGAGTGAAGTATGTCCACATCTGAGACTGAGACAGGGTCAGAAGGTGAGGGTGGAAAGGAAATGTGGGTCTAAGCTGAAGTATATTGGTATGGATGCACATGGATAAATCAAACCTACAGGATGCAGCAGGGGAAGAGCGCAGGGAGTTGTGGCTATAACCTTTGTCTGAAATCATATAAAATTTGGGCCAGGATGTGCTACTGGAATTGCAAGATAGATCCCATAATTAAAAACATGGTAGAAACTGAACACAACTGCAAATCTGGTAGCAACAAGGGTACGGAACACTGGCTCAGGGGGCTGCAGGCAGCTTTTTGGAGTCCACCTGACCTGTGGATGCAGTGTCATGCTGTGGTTCATCAGATCCACCCCAGGGTACCACTGGAGGACTCAGGTCAACTCTCACACCCCAGTCTCAGTCACATATCCATGCTCCTCACCTCATGTCAGCTCTAAAGGTCACATTCCCAGCCTTCCCTCTATGCCACACAGAGCAATCTCTATTTTGCCAACAATGCAAATGAATCGTAGGGATACTCACAGAGTAGGATGCGGTCCCAATAACAACTACACAAAACTGGATATCCATTGTTCTGTTCAGTTACCGTGCATTAATGCTCATGTGTGCAAGAGTCATGGAATCATAGAATATTTTGGGTTGGAAAGGAATTTAAAACTCGTTCAGTTCCAGCCCACTGCAATGGGCAGGGACACCTTCCACTAGACCAGGTTGTTCCAAGCCCTATCCAACCTGGCCTTGAACACTGCCAGGGATGGAGCATTAACCATTTCTTTTGGCAACCTGTTCCAGTGTCTCTCCACTTTCACAGTGAAGAATTCCTTCTTTATATGTAACCTAAATCTCCCCTGTTTCAGTTTAAACCCATCACCTCTTGTCCTTTCACTACAGTCCCTGATGAAGAGTCATCCTCTGGCATCCTTGCAGGCCCCCTTCAGATACTGGAAGCTTGCTCTGAGGTCTCCACGCAGCCTTCTCTTCTCCAGGCTGAACAGCCCCAACTTTCTCAGCCTGTCTTCATACAGGAGGTGCTCCAGCCTCTGATCATCCTTGTGGCCTCCTCTGGACTTGCTCCAACAGCTTCCACGTCCTTCTTTTGTTGGGGACCCCAGAACTGTATGCAGTACTTCAAGTGGGGTCTTGTGAGAGCAGAGTAGAGGGGGAAAATCACCTCCTTCAACCTGCTAGTTACACCGAGAAGATAAAATAGGAGTGTGTGTGTGGTAAATGCGTGTTTGCAATCTAATTATCTTTCTAATCTCTCTCTCATATTGAGGGGTCATTTATAGTGATGAAAATGCAGTCAGCCTCAAAACTCGTGGGTGTAGTTTGGCATATCCAAAGGTTCCCCCATATAGAAACCACAGTCTGCACATTTGAAACTGCAGAGTTTCAAAGAGCTGGCATAGCCCATGGGTTTGCTTGCAGAGTTGCAAAGATTGCAGTTACAATTTACTTCAGTGGGCTCGAGGTGATTTTCCACACCTCGAAAAATCAGGCCCTTCTATCTAGCAATCTGCATATAGCTGCTCCAAAGCAAGCTGTGTGTGCACAGCTGAGTTGTTGTGTAAACAGTAGGAGAGACTTCACTAAAGCTTTTCATGTAGTTTTATCTCAACTGCAATTTGTTTCTAGATTTTAAAGGCTGTAGAAACACCCAGCCTTACTCCCTAGAGCCTAGTTTCGCTGCTTCAGCCGTTCCAATGGTATTTACAGCACTGTTTGATTTTATCTGAACTCTTCAAAAGGCCTTGAGTCTCCCAAGAAAGGTGCAAAACATACCCAGGTTCCCTATTGCTAGAGTTGCTTTTCCTTTCCTGGAACTTCACTTGTAATGGGACTGTGTTTGCTTGTTTGCTTTCATCCCCAGGTGTGCTGTCTCTACCTGCCTACTTCAGCCCGTACAACGATGGCTCTGTGTGCAACGATGGAAGGGCTGATGCTTATGCCCAGCTGGAACTCCGAACTTTAGAGCAGTCTCTGTTGGCAACTTGCGTTGGAAGCATCTCTGAACTGAGTAAGTTTGGGCTGTAATCAAACCTGGCTTGCTTTCTGTGAAGCGGGAGAGCCAGTCCCTCCACTGTTGAGGTCAGTGGGAGCGTTGCCATTGTTGACAGTGTGAGCAGTACTTGGCTAACGTTGTGTAAGATTTAATTGCCTTGTGGTGCTGTTTATGAAAATCAGGTTGTTTCATTAGACTGCTTCATATTTAATCACCTTGGAGGTATATGAGACGTGGCTTCTCTAGCCTTTTGGTAGTTAGTGCCAACAGAAGATGGATGCTTTTGCCCAGATGCCTCTGGAGGCTTTCTTGTACATTTGAGGAACAGAGCAGTGACACCTCCCTCAGCTGGTAAGAGGCTTCTCTTTGTTAGTGTTTGTGCAGTGGAGATGTCAAGGGTGCAGGATAGTCAAGGAAAAAGCTTTTGGGTTACTTAAAAGACAAAAAGAGGAAGAAAAAAAAATCTGAGAGCACTTTGGTAACAAAAACTTGTTCAAAACTTTCTTTTTTAATGCTAACCAAATGAAATGTTCCATTCCTAGACTACTCACAAAGCCCCTTTAAAGTAAACAAAAATGATTTGTGTTTTCCCGCTCTACTTTTCCCTTGCAACATTTTTGCTGGCATCACTTTCTTAGTCTCCACCATCTGAATGCTAATGAATGTCAGGGCCAGTTTGTGGGTTTCACCATTTATTTTGCAACCTGCCTTAATTTGAGGTTTTCAGATTCCTTTAACACACCTCTATTTATCCTGGAACACAAGAGAACATTTGTAGCATGGGCCTAAGATTGAATACAGCTTCCTCTCTCTTCCCCCATCCCTGCTTTGGCCAACTTGGTCATTACATCTAGTGAATAGATCTCCTGATACAGTTGCCTACTTTTTCTTTTTTTTTTTTTTTCCTTAAACATTGCTGCACATTGCCAGAAAAATCAAGAGAGTGAGTGTGCAAAGGAGAAGGAACATTTTTCTGTGCTGAAGATTGGAATTCCAGATACGTTTTGGCTATAACTGCGCAGACCCTGTGTTTGTACCAACGCTATCCCTGTAAAACAGTTAGATCCTGGAGAATCAGGAGCTACTGAAGTGGAAAGGCAGAGATGTTAGGAGGCTTTTCCATTTTGAAGTGGGTCCTTAAACAAAATGTATTACACCACAAATGAGTGGCACAGCTTTACACTGCAAACTGAGCTTTTTAATGCTCCATTGATCTGAACCACTAATAGCATTATCATGTTTAGACATGTGTTAGTTTTTGTGGGGGCTCTCCCTAACTGGTGTAACACTAGAACCCCATGGGTTCAGCCAGAGGTTGGTTGGTAAATTCAGTGTCTTGCTGTTAGATATAAATGAACAAATAATAGCCTCCTAAGTATTTCAGAGGGCGGTGTGAACTAGTTCATATGTGGCTACATTCAGGGCGCTCTCTCAGGAACCACCTTTGTGATGGGGCAACTATTTCAGTTCCATCCTTTCCCAGTATTGTAACTGTAGGACACAATAGAGTAACGTTTCCTGTGAGAGTTTTAGGGGACTGTAAAATATAAAAGCAACAGAGGATTCTCCCAAGGCAAAAATAGATCCTGGCTATCTATAGTAATCCATAGGAATCGTTCAGCTCACTGGTATGGTAGTCACACTACGCAAAGATTTAATGTCTGAAGTCTTTATTGCAAAGCTCCTGAGAGGTTGAAATGCACCACAATAAAAGGAGAGTAAACAGGGTGTGCCCAAGGTAAGCTTCTTGCACAAAGACCAGTTTTATGTGACTGCATAGCTGCTGTCTTGGGGTCATTGCTCTGTGAACTTTTAAACAATCTGCAGTCTTAAAATCCTTTCTGAGTAGAAACTGTGTAATACAGGTCCCCTTCTTCCAGGCCTCCTCAGGTCCACCAGTGCTCTGACACATTGGCTCAAGTTCAAAGACCCAAGAGGACTGAGCAGCCCAGAAAGCTCTTGGAACCATCTTCTTTACAGGGCTCAGGGGTAGATTTCTGGCACAGGTTGTGACAGTGATCAAGATGAAGAATGGCTTCTTAAGAAGAGAGTCAGGTCTTGTTATTCTAGAGAAACCCACAGCTAGAGAGAGTGAGAGAAGCAGACCCCTTAAAAGAAGAGATTTCTGTATTGAATATAACATCATTAACTTGTCACAAGTTCATGGGTAGGAGGGTGGAATATCATAACCCAGCTGAAAGACATGGGAATAATCTCACAATATAAAATGGCGATGCCAGCAATGAGACTATTTGTACTGGTGCTACTAGCTTTGCCTTGGGCAAGCTACACTCCAGGTTGGGCAGTGGACATTATGCAAAGACATTAGTAATTTAGCAGGCAGGCAAGAAACTGGGTATATGTGATTGGAAAGAGGAGAAAACCAGGATGGAAAAACCACAGTGCAGCTGAATGTATGATAACTGAGAGAAGTTTCATTCTGTTTTGTAACTAATAACTTGTCATTTGAAAGAAAGTTTAATTTCCCATACAACAACCTGCAGAGTAGCAGCTTGAGGACAGCTTATGCCTTGGTGGAGGAAAAAGATTAAGAGCACACAAAAGCCATTTCTCTTAGCTGAGAGAGACTTTATTTGGTTGAAAAAGTGTACTTAAGAGAACCATGAATTAATAGTAAAGAGGTGCTTTTGCATTCTCTCTCTTTGTGCAGGTGATCTGGTATCACGAGCAATGCACCACATGCAGTGTTTGAACACCATCCGCCCAGGCATGAGCCCCATTCGGCAAACCCGGCAGCAGCAACCCATCTCCTGGTCCCCTGATGCTCTCCACACCCTCTACTACTTCCTACGCTGTCCTCAAATGGAATCCATGGAGAACCCCAACCTGGACCCTCCAAGAATGACCCTGAACAACGAACGGTACGTAGGTTGAACTGTTAGTAGTCAAGGAGTTAGGCTAAGAAGGTCTCCTTTTGTAGAGTAGCTATTGTGTGCATGGGCAGCTTGGGCAGCTTTGTGGATGCTACCTATCAGGCATCAGTTATTCCTGCAGTCAGGCCAGATTACGTTGTCAGCCTTGCCAAGTTTATGAAGCCTTGGAATTGGAACTGGAAAGTGAGCTGTTTTTTCATGCAATCTTTCCGAGCGAGGCATATACTATGTGCTGCCAACAAGGCTTGTCTAGAGATGCTGCCAAAAGTACATGTGGTTGCCTAAAGCAGTAAAGACCTTACCAAAGAAAATGTTACCTTCTCAATAGCACCAATTAACAATTGTCATCATTCTCAGGAAAAGCAATGTTGTTCACTTTGGGGAAGTTTGAAGGGATTTATGAACATCCTTCTTAAGGATTCCTTCAGTTGATGCTGTGTGTCTGGTATAGAAATAAATTTATATAGGAAGCCAGTAACTAAACAGAAAATGCAGTGGGTCTCCCTGCCTTCTGCCAGCACCATAACTGACTCTGAAATAGGCTCATTATTAGAGTGGTCAGAAATTTTCCAGAGGGATGTTTTCTCTGTTAGAAACCTCCCTGGTTTCCTTCCTGCCCAGCTCCTTGGCAGTCTGCCTGACAGGCTAGTGGCAGCAGAGAGCTGAGGAGCCCTTGGAGCCCTAGCCACAAGTTGAGTTCCTTGACAGGTCAGGCAGCTCCCCAGCTCAAAGACACTGGTAGCTAGTTCTTGCAGGGAGACCCAGGCCTCTCCACACTTGTTAGGTTTCCAAAGTTTGAAATGCTTATCCAATTTTATATTGATTTCAGAAATCTTACCTTAAGTGGGAAATTCTGGTTTCTGATTAACTCTATCCAGTATTTGTGCTAGCATATTCTGTGGATGCCTTTTACCATACTGGGTATCAAGACTCTGTCCTGGCCCTTCCCAAAAGCTGGCTGTGGTTGGGAGGTTTCACAATGTAGTGATGTAGCTGGAGGGGGAGGCCACATTCCCATCTTGTTGGAAAGGTGAGCAGAGAAAGAACATCTCTGCAGCTTTGTAAGCAGCATGGTTTCTTCTTCCTACCTGGGGCTTTACTCAGCCGCAGCTTCTAAAATTGATATGAAATCATGGTAACATCTAAATGATGCTCTCAGCCTGCACTGTCTTGCACCAAGCCTGCCAACTGATTTCAGCAGCCCTAAAGGCTTCTTATAGCTGTGTTCACCATCACTGGAACTGTGGCTGATGGCGTCATGGCCAGAGCCTGGCTACTCAGAAGGGAGAAGACCTTGAGAATAATAGTAGGTTGAATTGTGTCCTTTTAAGGCTCTGAATTGTCAGGGTGCAGAAAAACCTACTGGGTGGAAGGCAGCCTCTATAATTTCAGTCTTGATGAGTTACTTTAGGTTAAGGGGAACTTCAAATAAGGATTAAAATATAAACTTATCACCCTCCGGGTCTTTGTAGCTACCTCCGCTGGTCACCTGGTTTTATTCTCTTGGTTGCTGAGCCATCTTTCTGTACTGTAATGTAGTTTCTGCTCTTTGAGATCTCTGTCTGGTGGGAGCTCAGCTGTTTTACAAAGTAAAAAGATTGTCTTTCCGTTTGATCCTACCCCAGAATCCTTTCAAAAAGAACAATCTGTGAGCAGAACTCAAGCAGCAGAGAGTGGGAACTGATGTATGAAGAACCAAGAGGAATTAAGTGAAATAGAGTAAAATAGGGACAGGAAGAAGCTGCACAACTCCGAGCCCATTGGTAGCTCTGGTTTTGGGGCTCACTAATCTCAGTCAAGTGCCCTACCAAGTGCAAGGTTGTTTATTTTGCATTTCATGTTTGCACACTGTGCAAAACCTGAGTTTTCATGAGGCCAGATTCAGCAAAGTTGCGCCAGCAGCTCACACAGTCGTACAGCTGAAGCTGCTAAACAGCTTCTATCAGAAACGTAGATTAAGCTTTCTATTTTGTGTTGTGCTCTTTTCAGCACTCTCAGTATCATGATGTTACTGCAGCAACTTGTTTTGTACACTGAGGATAATAAAGGAGTTAAATCAGGAGTGCAGTTATCTCCCCAATTGCTCCCAAACAATGCTTTTCACATGGCTCACCGGACTGCTTTTGGAATGCGGGCTGCAACTCTATTCTGGTTTAAAATCCCCATTAGATCCTATAACAGCTGTTGTAAGGGAAATTTCTGCCTTCTTTTCTGACCAGTACTTAGCTGAAAAGAAAATTAAAGAGGTTATATTAAAATAAAGCAAAAACTGAAAATAGGTGGGGGAAAAAACAGAACCTGAGGACTATCAGGTTAAATTGGCTTTGAAAAGGTTATGAAACTTGGAAATGAAATTAATAGTGCCCAGTACACTACAAATGAACATCCAACCCTGCATTTCATTTGCTCCAAGGTGTATTTGTATGTCTTCCTGCATTGACCTCTGTGCGTGTTACTTAGCATAGCCAGTGGGATAAATGCTCCTAGCAACACTTTATACAAGAGATAGTTTACTCTTTCCTAGCTTAAGAGGGAAGATGGTTGAGGCTGTGTGTGAGATGCCAGACTCGTGGCAGGATAGATGAGGGCACTGATTCACCTAATGTGACTTGGCAAGGCTGCGCAGCCCAGTTCTTTTATTCTTTCCCGAGCTGTGCTAAATCAGCTGCAAACTCTGCATTGCTCTTTTGTGTGTTTGTGCTCTCTCTTGCTGGAATATATTTGTGTGCACTGCAATCCCAGTTTGTTTTCTACTGAAAAAAAACCCTCAGTCACAAACAAGGACAGTAACCCTGACCAGCTCTCCATTTGCTTGTGCTTCAGTTCCTATGCTCCAGTATAAATCTGTTGGTGGTGAATGCTAATCTGAAGTTTAGCAAAGAGAGGGATGGCTGAGAGAGCTGCAGACTTGGTAAAACCAGATCTTGGAAAGATCTGTGGGCCACATTGATTCAGTGAAAGGAACCTTAGTTGTTCATTTAGAGACCTGACAACCTACAGTCCATCTTGCCTGGCTTTCTGTTGTCTGTGAGCTTTCTGTGTGTCACACTGCAGAGTGCTATGAAAATCATAACACTGTAGGGTCTGGAAGGCTTTTACTGTACTTCAGCATGAAGGCAAGCATAGAATTCAAGAAGCCTGTTAGAGGGTGTCATATGCCATAAAGGGCTTTTCAAAACCTGGCTGAGCATCTGAACATTTTATACAGCAGTCTGTATAAGGTATGAAAACATACATGCTTGCAGTTAGGTATGCAAGGCACCCCAGTGAACAGAGCCAGTTTAAACTCATATAAGCTATGTGCCTTCTTCATGCTAAACACCTTGGCAACTAGAGAACTGAGGTGGTGGGTAAACTGTAGAGTCCTGCAGGAATGGGGTGGATGTAGTTGTGTCTTTAGAACTTGGCAGGTAGAGGAGCTTTCTGTTTTAGCCTCCAGCATGTGAATGATGTGGGATACCAATACACTGAAGCTCTGGGGAGTTTGTGAGTTGGTTATATCTGGTTCTGATACTTACCTCCAGGCATTGAAGCAGTAGGAGGAGGGGAGGCAGAATGACAGGGAAAGCACTCAGGTATCTTAAGCAAAGCACTTGTATTTCCACAGTGAATGCAGCTGCTTGCTGTATGACCAAGCCATGACCCACTTGGAACCCCAAAATGACCTCATTTACTGCATGGACAATAAACCATCTGCTATTTGATGTCAGATAGGCCACATGAGGAAGTGTTTTGCAAATAGAGTGCCACTTGTGCAATACTTTGGCAAAGGAGTTAGACCCTGAGGTGAGACCAAGCTGCCTTCCGCAGTAACGATACACCTGAGGGCCTGAAGGCTCAGAGCCTTTTGGTGTCATCACAGAGCACATCTGCCTTTGTTGCTGCAAAGTGTCTCTTCTGGGCAATAAGATATTTGAGTTTCTAGGAGCTCATAGTCTGTATTGTGTCAGAGATCAGACAGTGTGGGTTTGCACTATGAAGAGTGAGCAGGCATGTGGCACTCCCATTGCTTTCTTTCTGCTCTGGGCTCTTTCCCATTGCTTATGTCAGGCTGGCTGAGCTTGGGAGCGTTCTGCAGTGTGAGCTCATGTCCCAGAGCAGCAGGGCATGTTTGCTGGGATTGTTTGGGATCCTGTGACTTGAGAAGGGCCATCCAAAGGTAAATGAAGTTTCTTTCTCCCTTCTTCACTTTCTCCCAAGTGGAATATAAAGCTTTTGTCTTATTTTTAACAGTGTGTCAAGGCAAGAATGCTCTCTCAGTGATACTTGTCTCAGGGAGTATTTGTCTGCTCCCTATACAGCACAAATTGAGGTCAGTATTGTAGTCTTACTTTACAGCTGGGTGAACTAGCCTATCCTGGACAGGAGAGTGGTCCAGCCTTAAAGCTAGGAATAGACAGCTTTGATTGCCCTCATCCTATCTCATTGTGATTATCATGTGCATACAGCATTTATTGTAGGAAAGTTAGTATGATCTAATTCCTAAGAACAGGCAAAAAGTTGGATTCTGCTTCACTGTGTATATGATCATGTCTTTGGTAGGCTGAAGCTTCCTCCTCTTCCAGCTACCCTATTAAACAGTTATACATCATGTTTGCCTGTTGTTAATACTGTTGTTCTGTAGAATGTTCTAAAAGTAATTCTTGGCTTATCCACCAGTGCCCATGGATGTGGCCATGCCAGACCTTTTTGAGCTATCCATGTCGCACATGTGCCAAGTTTTACATGTTGTCTGAGTTTGCTGGGGCATTCTTTCATTCCAAACATCAGTGAGTATATAAAAGAGTTTACATCAGCAGAAGCACACAGACTGCACCCATCTGAGTCTGCCAGTGAAAATCCAGTAAAACACCAGGGAAATTCCTGAGCTGATGTAGGATTTGTCAGCTGCCAACAGTAAAATTTGGAGCTTGCCAGTTCAGTGGAGACTCACAGCTCTTCAGCTGGAAAAGCTGTGGACACTGCAAGAAGCCAACTACAGTCACACA